AATAAAAATAAAAAGGGGTAAAAGTAGTAACAAAACGGAAGCTCCTAGCGCTCGCCTCGACCCGATCCGCAGCCGGTGCGGCAGGGCACGAAACATGCCGAACGAAAAGGCGCAGCTCGGCACGCGAGCACCGCGGCGCCAAACTGAGCGACGGACGGCTGCGAGGTTGGCAGCGGTCATGACACGAAGTGACAGCCTGCACCAGTTCTACGAGTTGTACCGTGGCGTAGGACCATGAGGGGCACAGCTGGAAACATGTGTGGGTCGGCTGCTTTTGGGTCATAATGACACAAAGAAAGCAGCCAGCCACTGGAAGGGGGTGGGGGGGGGAGCAGTCGTTGAGTGGGCGAGCTTGTCTCTTTAAAGTCGATGGGCCCGAAATTCGTCAATCTTTAGCTAGTCTCAATAGTTGTCCCAAGATTCCTATATGATTGTGGCCCCTTGTAGTGGAGCAGCGGCAGCTGCCAGTCCCAAGTGCACTACAGCCCTCGGCTCCAGCGCAGTCACCGCGCGTCCTCCTGGGCCCTCTGTGGACGTGTCTCCGATGGTCGCAGCGTGGACGTGTCCCGGGGACGTCCTGTGGACGTGTTCGCCCCGCACAACAGTATGCGGTGCGCCGCCGCCCTGATAGAGGTGACGTGTCGTCGACTCGGGCGCGACGCGACAGTGCAGCGCTGGCTGGCCTGCTTGTCTCATATCTCAGGCAAACGTTCCCGCTGCCTCCGGGTGCGGCTGGCTACCCGACCAGAACCAGCTACGGCAGTTGAATATCGAGCATCAGCGACACGATGTCAGAATGGTGAAATCGACATCGAAACGATATCGTTTGGATTCGAATTTCTCAATGGGTAGCAGCTCTCTGTCGCACTCCGTCAATTCAAATGTGTATAGTTGGGATAGGGCTGGCAGGGAGGGAAGGGTACGATGAAAGTGCGAATGGGAAAGTTAAATCAGCCGCTCTTTGAAAGCATAAGGAGAGTCTGAAGCTGCAGAAACGTTTTCTGTACACATGGAACAGAGTACAGTCACAAACAACACATCGTAAGGAGCGTCCTCAAATTTGGGGCACAGTAATTGTCACTGCCGCCTAGCAGACCGACTGAGAGGGAGGGGGGGGGGCAGTAGCACATTGGGTCGCCAGGAGAGCCCGGGAGTGCGACAGAGAAGGAGAAGGAGAGGGACAAAGCGGGGCTGCGCTGGGATTGGGCCGAAAGTTCAATCTGAACTGAACTTGAACTGACTTTGTTGACCGGCTTCTGTATGTAGCTACACCTCGAAACGAATCTCCATGTGAAACCCTGTTTTTGAGAGTTAAAATTAACTTCCAGTGGGGAAAGAGCGCAAGAGTGCACTGTTGCAGATTTCACCCGACTACTACTCCGAATGGAATTTTGCAAAACTGGCGTCAGTTACGTAACGAAACAACTTGGGAATGTAAGGACCGGTGTGTGGAAGAGCGTCTTTGTCCTCGGGACACCGCATACTACGTAGTGGGGACATAATGGTGTTGATCGGCAGTTCAAGGTCCCGGCGATCATACGTTATACACACGCCGTAGCACGGCGCGCGCAGGGGCATCCTCAACCGATTTCGCAGGGACGCGACTGGAGACAAAGACCGCGATAAAGATAGAAACGTTACACTACGTTTGGCCATTAGCTATAGCACATGGACTGTAGTTTAGGTCGCGACAGGAAGAGCAGGCTGGCAGGACACTCTTGTCACTCGGACGGCCGCGGGACGGTTGTTGTTGAGCAGTTGTGGATCACGTCCACGTCCGAAACACGACGTCATGGCAGAACGCAGAAACGCATATATGCGGAACTACTTGTTTGCGCCAGGCCTGGCTAGGCGCAGCAGTCGGCCGGCTGATAGCGCGCTGGCCGGCCTGGAGACCCCCCCCCCCTCCCCTCGCTAGCAGTAGGCCTCTAATGACCCGTGGGTGTGTAGATTGAGGTCTCTCCCGTGAGCCCGGCTAACAGGCGGGGCGCAGCGGGCGCCGTCGGGCCGGATCCAGCTGATGCGGAAAGGAGGGCGACAGGCCACGCGCGGTGACAGAGGGGGCAGCGCTGAACGGTCACAACACTGGACAAACTAATGTGACATGGGTCACATACACCAATCGGTGTGACCAGTTTTGATCACACTATCTAATGTGACCTGAGTTTAGGTCACACCAATTGATGCAACATCAGCCACGAAGGTAGGTAGGTAGGTAGGCAGAACATAAAGCAGGTCACGCCACAAAATTGACCAAAATTCAACACAACACGCTAAGCAAGGTGTTTCCAGTGATAGGCAACGCCGACTTGAAAGACATGTGGGCAGCTTTAACTGCCAAAGCACTATCCAGCAAACTAACTACTCGACATAATGGCTGTATCTTCAACCTCCGCTAGGACTCTACTTCAGTGAAGACATCATCCCCTTCGCAGCAGGGTACCCGCGGGGAGCCTATACGGGTGTGGCGCCACGACGGCTCGCACCCGCCGGCGACATCCGTGAGCTTGCCGCGGGGCAGGCAGGACGGCAAGTCAGTTAGATCACCGGTGCCAACATCGAGTGAGTGAGTGTCTCCGAGGTGCGAACACTACCGGCAGCAGCAGCAGGAGGGTGTCGGGTCGGGTCGGGGTCGGTGCCGGAGACAATCCGGATGACGCGAGTAGTTTTGAATATTGATGCTCGGGGCGGGGCGCAAGGTGGAGCAGCAGCTCCGGAACGCAAGCAGGGTAGGGCGTGCCCAGCCGGCGAGGAGGGACGTCGCGGAGAAGCGCAGTGCGCCATTCCGTAAACTTGCTGGTAAAATATTTATCCATTCATGAACTCTGCCGCTGCTGCTGCGGCGGCGGCGGCGACGGCGGGGAGGCGCGTGGCGGAGCCCGGGCGTAGGATGGGAAGAGGCATGCATGCGTCAGGTGCGCCTGCGCACGCTCGTGTGTGTGTGTGTGTGTGTGTGTGTGACCACCATCCATCTTGGCGGCGACAGGTATTCACGACGTGAAAAGGCTTCCCCTGGCTCCGGCCCCGGCGCCGTCGTCCGCTTGCATCCCATAGCGGCAAACCCCCTCTCCCTCTGCAATTCCAGTCACTGACGCGATCGCCCAGACTTGCGCCCCTCGCACCCCGCGCGCCGCGCCGTGCCTCCTTCACAAAAGTTTTCGTGAAAGGCCAGCATGACTTGTTCGTAATTCCCTTTTCCCGACAGCAGTTCATCATCGATCGCCGACCTTCCGCATTATCCGCCGGCCAGAACCGCGGCGGCGGCGGACCCGGAGCCGCCCCTGCTTGGAGGATTTCTCATTTATTGTTGTTGTTTGGCGAAGGCGGCGGCGGCATCGGCAGAAGCAGCAACAGCAGCAGCTGCTGCCGGCCGGCCGGCTGGGGGATCCTCGGGCGGGAGGCTAACGGTAAGGCCCGGGCGCGGGCCGCCGCAACCACGGCGTGACGCCACGGCCCACGGCGGGGCGGGGCGGGGCGCGGCGGGGCGGGGCGGCCGTCGCCATAGCGTGATGTGCGCCACGTTGCCGGCTTTACCGTTGTTGCCGATTAATGAATGCATGGTTCACGAGATGTGGCACCCGTGGAGAAAGAGGGAGACAGACAGACAGAGACTGCCCCAACACACTATGCCTCAACCACTATCACTTTGCTTGGCCCATCCTCGATGATCATCCAGAAAGTACGTCCGTGATTCGTCCGTAACGAACCTGTCAAGTTCAGCCAGTTCAGCCTGTAGGCAAGCTCTCGTAGCGCCTGCTAGGTAGGCAACATCTCGCCTGCAGCGCACGCGTGTACTACGGGGTGGCCTACCTCGAGTCTCGCAGGCGCCGAGTCGAGCTCATGTTATTCTCCAAACGTATTGAGAAAGTAACGGACATTTACTTTCCGGGGGATTCATTTCTTCAACGAGCATCAGCCGCGAACTTTCTTTTAACCCTTCGCTTACCTCCAGAAAGAGGGCACTGGACCCCAGCTGGACACTACACTGCTCTGCTCTGCAGAGCCAGGTCGGCGGGGAGAAGCTGGCAGCAGAGTCCCTCCCAGGGGCAATGGGAGGGCGTGTGGACCTGGGTGCGTTAGGACTCCCCCCACAGGGAGCCCCC